GAATACACCAATGCAGGACAAGCATATTCACAGGGTCCTTTTTCAGAGGTGTCCCTTATTCTAGGGTATTGGAATACACCAATGCAGGACAAGCATATTCACAGGGTCCTTTTTCAGAGGTGTCCCTTATTCTAGGGTATTGGAATACACCAATGCAGGACAAGCATATTCACAGGGTCCTTTTTCAGAGGTGTCCCTTATTCTAGGGTATTGGAATACACCAATGCAGGACAAGCATATTCACAGGGTCCTTTTTCAGAGGTGTCCCTTATTCTAGGGTATTGGAATACACCAATGCAGGACAAGCATATTCACAGGGTCCTTTTTCAGAGGTGTCCCTTATTCTAGGGTATTGGAATACACCAATGCAGGACAAGCATATTCACAGGGTCCTTTTCAGAGGTGTCCCTTATTCTAGGGTATTGGAATACACCAATGCAGGACAAGCATATTCACAGGGTCCTTTTTCAGAGGTGTCCCTTATTCTAGGGTATTGGAATACACCAATGCAGGACAAGCATATTCACAGGGTCCTTTTTCAGAGGTGTCCCTTATTCTAGGGTATTGGAATACACCAATGCAGGACAAGCATATTCACAGGGTCCTTTTTCAGAGGTGTCCCTTATTCTAGGGTATTGGAATACACCAATGCAGGACAAGCATATTCACAGGGTCCTTTTTCAGAGGTGTCCCTTATTCTAGGGTATTGGAATACACCAATGCAGGACAAGCATATTCACAGGGTCCTTTTTCAGAGGTGTCCCTTATTCTAGGGTATTGGAATACACCAATGCAGGACAAGCATATTCACAGGGTCCTTTTTCAGAGGTGTCCCTTATTCTAGGGTATTGGAATACACCAATGCAGGGCAAGCATATTCACAGGGTCCTTTATTCAGAGGTGTCCCTTATTCTAGGGTATTGGAATACACCAATGCAGGGCAAGCATATTCACAGGGTCCTTTATTCAGAGGTGTCCCTTATTCTAGGGTATTGGAATACACCAATGCAGGACAAGCATATTCACAGGGTCCTTTTTCAGAGGTTTTACGACAGCACCATTTTGTATGTGACTTGCAATTTTGAGGGTGCAAATAATGATGGGTTATTTTGAAACAGTTGCATAGGGAGAGACGACAGACCTGGCTACAGGCCCTGTGTAGGAGACAAACTGGTGTCCATCAGTACACCCTTTGCCACCTACTGTCCCGAGGTGTTTCACGACACCATGACGACAGGCCACGTCTGCAAGCTGATTGGTCGGAACGGCAGCTTGTTCCTGACGGACGCCTGTCACCTCCCAAACACAGAAGGAGCTGGTCTGAGGAGAGACAGATCTCTGTGAGTGAGTGGTTTGCTCTCTTCTGCATCCCCCAATCATCTTCTCTTTTCCCCTCTCTCCTCTATTTTTCAACTTCCTCTCTCCCCTCTCTATTTCTCCCTCTTAATTGTAGGGGTTATAGTAGGGGGTGGAGTGTCATGAGTAGGTGGTTTGACACATGATTGGAGGTAGTGCCCTACCTAATATGAGGCATAAAATACCCAGTAAAACCATCCACTTTTGGTTTGGCTACTCTCAACTTTATAGCCACTCTGTCCTTTCTCTCTTATGCCCACCTCCCTCCCTCTTAGTTCAGTGGATGTGGTTGCCATGGTACTGGCTCCCCTATTCTGTGAGAGAGGCCACCCAACAGGACTCAGTCTTGCCACCTCTCTCTCCTCCCTCCGCCCCCCCTCTCCTCTCCCACCCCCCTCCACCCTTCTTCCTCCCCCACAAGACAATCTCACAGGTTTCATTGAGAATGTGTGTGTGTTTGTGATAAGCAAGTGTACAGTTGGGGGGGGGTGCATTTCTCATTCACGAGTAACATAATGATTGTATAGAGTAAGCACGGACTCTCATGTGACTATATAACTAGATATTACTATATTACGTAAGATTACCAATTGTGATGTAATCATCTCTGACCACGTGTATCTACTATTTCGAATGAGTCCGTTACACAATGCACTGCATCTGGATGTATAAAAGAAAGATTCAAAAACTCGCTACGCTGTATGTATCTATGAACCTTAACTTTGCACTGTTACAATTTTGACTGTTGTTTATGCTGTTTGCATCCCCAGGTGTGTGTAAGCTGGTGGTGGGAGTGGCAGTGGGCTCTAATTGGGGTAGTGGAATTCTTCTCTCATGTGACAGAATCCTGACATGTGCACATGTCGTCACCAAACTCCGCTCCAGTCAGCCATTATGATGTAATCTTTTCATTGATGATGTCATCTTTCACACACAGGTCCAGTCACAATTTACATACCTTCTGAGTCCCGGGTTCATTCTGGATCAGTGCTGGAATGGAACGGGGACATGGACCTTGCTGTCATAGGACTCAGAGATGGTATTGTGGGCAGTCTGGTTCCGGAACCATCTGGGACCAGATCCACCGGTCTCATTCTCAGTCTGTGGCGGAGAGACGACCACATGACTACCGTGGGGGACCAGTGTGTGCCATTGGCTACGAATGTCCACCGTGGCAGTCTAGTGCTCCGCTGGTGACGAGGGGTGTGGTCATGCAGGTTGCCGGGTGGGGTGGGGAGGGTGTGATGGTTGTGAGCAGTGCCGTGATGCTCCCGGTGATGAGTGGAGGTCTCCTAGTGAGTGAGGAGGACGGCTGTCTGCTGGGCATGATCGTCTCCATTTCAGAGTGAGGGTTCTCCCCTTTTCATTTTCTCCCCTCCTTCCGAATGGTCTCGTACCCAGACCCCGCCCTCAGGAGAAAAATGGTCTGGTGACTGTTGAGCAATTTACACCGAATCTGATGTGAGGGGGCATGGGAAAAGGGACCTATGTGGCTGGAATGTGAAAATTAAGTTTTTGAGGGTGAAAAACCACAAAAACTTAATTTTCACATTCCAGCCATATAGGTCCCTTTTCCCATGCCCCCTCGTTTGCCAGCAGTGTGAAATATCACCTGTTGTATTCGTAACCATAAGATAGCTCCTTGAACTAAGTGTCTATGAATGAAAACGTTTTTTTGTGCAGCCACTCAATAATGATGAGTCAGCACACAACCAAGAAATCGGTCACAAGACCAAGTTCAACTTCTGATCAGCCCGGGGTCTGGGTACGAGACCACCTTTTCAAGAGATGCCTCTATCTATAACCTCTTTCTGTTCCTCCTCACAGGGATGCCACCACAGGCCACACCTACTCCCTGTTGTTGCCATGGTTACTACCAGCCTTGCTCCCCTCCATTACTGAAGTGGGAGAGCCCTAACAACAACGAAATATTTCGTGACTCCAAACTTAGTCTTATAATGCAAAAAGGTGTGTTAGTGTTACTCACCTTTCCCTGGCAGGAGAGGCTTGAATATCTTCACCAGCTTATTCAGAGAACTGGAGAGAAGTGAAGCTTTGCTGTGGACACTGGGCTGAGGAGGTGATCTCACCAGGCAACTGTAGACCCTAGTCATAAGTGTGAATCATGCGTGTGTTCCTGTGGGTGTTCATCAGTGTTAACATTTTGAATGGACGGACAAAGCTCAGGCATGACTGTGTGAATCATTTTTAAATTTTGGTCTTTATTCGTCTCAAAGCCGCAACCCTTGAGCCGTTTGAATCTGATTGGTCAACTAGGAGAAAGCCTAGGTGCTTAGTTTCCTATGGGAGGAAAACTAGCTAGAAGACAGGAACACTATTGGATAGTGTTCACCCCCAAGGCCCTTTGGAACATTTTTTGTCGCATGCACCGCACTCTAATTAAACAGTTAGGGGACGTGTCATGGAAACCGTGTGATTAGAAGCCAACGTCTAACTTTATGTCTGGAAGATTTGAGGCATCTATGTATACATATTACTGTGCTTGCTTAGCCATGTAACTATGTTGGGAAGGTTATTGCAGTCGCAATCGCAAACAGGGAGCTCTTTCCTTGGGGGTGGAAAAAATATCAGTTCCAAATTTTGACGAATCAGCCAGTTGAAAAAATATTCCATCCCTAAAAAATAATTTTGTAGTTAACAGTGATTAAAAATGGTTAATTATAGCGGAAGTGAAAGTAAAAAGCACACACACACACGGAAGGAGAGAAGAGGAGGGGCTAAGAGATAGCGTCACTGCTGACCCTGGAGGGAAGATCCCACACTAACACGAACCCCGATTCCAGGTGCGGTACGGACTCAGGACCGTCGTAGTAGGAACGGAATCCGGACCCGAAACTGAGTAGCCTGGTCCCTAGTCTAGCCGTGTCACTCCCACTGCTACTGGTGGACTGGGAGTTGGACAGTATGGAGCTCTCAGAGTACTGGGAGTAGGGGGTTGACATGGGAATGGGACTTGGGTCAGCAGAATTGGGCTGGGACCCGGGCAGTGACATGGAACCGAGACTGGATCTGTCTGGGAATGAGTTTCGAGAGCTCTTCTTCTTGGCAGAGGTCCAGTGCGGGCTTGAGTAGTGAGAGGAGGTGTCGGAGGATGAGGGAGGGGGAGGGGAGAGGGTGAAGAGGGCCTGAACGGGGCCTCGGTGGCAGGTGAGGCTGCTGAGGTGGGAGAAGGTGAGAGCATCGAGGACTAGGATCTTCCCCGAGCAGAGGCCGACTAGGAGCTGCTGTGTGTGGCAGTGTAGGGAGCTGATCTTGCAGTCTGTGGGGGGAAAGATGGAGGAACATAGAGAGGGGATAACAATGGGAGGGAGGGGGCGGGGTACTGATGGTGTGTGTGTGTGTGTGTGTGTGGTTGCAGCAAGCATGCTGTGAACAATTAATGTTGGGTGTTTTGTTAATGGCTTCACATAACTGGTCATTTGGCAGACAATATTGCAAGGCATTGTGCACAGGAGAGAGGGGGTGTGGTGCAGTGATGCATTACCCACAATAATGTTAGGTGTACACTTGATGCTCATTCACATGGTAGAGTGATTGTATGGAACAGTGAGACTTTGCTGCTCATGACAAGTCATCGTGCACCAATGCAATGCAACCAAGAATGCAGTAAGTAGAAGAACATAACCAAATTTCACAGTATTACTACAACTTGTTGACAACACTGTTTATATGGGCCTCGATGTGATAAAGATAGAATGTGACTGGTGCACACACAGACCTTCCTTGTCTTCACAGCACTGCTTGCAGTCATGACAAGCCACCACCTCCTTAGAGCCAGCGTTCCATTGAGTCACATACTGACCATGGCACAGGGCTCCGTACACGCTCACTGATAGCTAAAATTAAAAAAAGAGGGCAACAGTAGACAAACATACATCGAGACCACGAGGCAAAGGCAAAAGTTAACAGTTCAACTCAAAGAGCTGCCCTAGGTGGGATTCAAACCCACGACACTCATGCAGTCTAGGCGAGTGCTCTACCAACTGAGCTACAAACTCAGCAGGTAGACAGGTTCAAACCTACACCACAACACAACACAGACAAACGCAAACCTTAAACCACCGTGCTATGGCACAGTACACTGTCATGCACACACACATGAAGAGCACCATAGTCATAGCACAAGACATTCAAGGAAGAACAGCAGGAAACGAGAGTTTTGCTTTTGAACAAGCAGTAAGAAAGGTTTGGACCCCCCCACCCACAAATGTTCACAGATGACTCTAAGGCTAGGTTCACAATATGGCACATTGCCCCGTCGTGCCGTGCTGCGTCGTGTCCTGCCGCGACGATAGAAATGGAGTCTATCCTCGCGGCACGACGGGCCAATGCGACATATTGTGAACTTAGCCTAAAAACGGGCTCCGGATCTGACTTAGTGAAAGTGAACCTGTTTTTCTGCACTGATACTGACTTACCTTCTGGTCATCCTGAGTTCCACTCTCCGAGGATGCCTGAGGACCGGACAGAGAGAAAATTTGCAATTACCTAATGTCGACATAAGTTAAGCAGCTAACTATATGGCAGACAATTCATGGAATTCTATGCTTTGAAGCAGTGTGCAGTTTACACACAGCCACTGATTTTTGGTATGCCATATAGTGTTTTTTCGTCGAGGCAGAATTTGTTCCCTTTGCTACTAAAACTCAGAGCCTGTATAAAAAAATTACACACTGTGTGTCCGGGGTGCATGCACGCTGGGAAATGAACATTAGGCTCCGATAATTTAACTGAACAAAGTAAAGCCACTATATATACACGAACAACCTCTTTTTGTGTCATGCACCATCGAAATTTGAGAACCCAGTTTTGTTTCAAAAGGTTGGAGTGAGATAGCAAGGAAAGATTGGAGTGAGATAGGTGGGAAAAGAGTGAGATGTGGGGCACGGCTGTCTGTCTGTCTAGCCCTCACCTGTGTCTGAGTCACAGTACTGAGATGACTGCTGTAGACCAGGTTAGTGTATGCGAGGTAGGCCATGTAGCTTGGGGTAGGTGACTTGTCACTCGTGTTCCTAAGAAATTTCACCACCGAGAGGTCGCGAGGGTCAAGGATCGTTATCATCGCCTCTGACTGCCCCACCCACAGCTCATGAGAAGCTCCGCCAACTTCCCCCGGTGGGCGTGGCACAGCTGTAACGCAGCTGGCCGGCTGCCCGAGATCGTGGTACTCGCAGACTGGCTGTAGTTGCGTCCTCCTCACCCCAGCCTCTCCCTCCACCTCGTCCTTGAAGGCAAAGACAGAGCCAGTGGCCAGAGTGACAAACACCCTCCTGTGGTGAGGGACATGTACGATGCTAACGATGGGAGTATACTGTCTCAGCCATATCTGGGCCAAGAGGTGGTGGGAGGATGAGTCGAAGATGAGGAGGTGGCCGATCTGGAACCCGACCCACACGCGACCCCTCGCAGCACAGAGGGCCAGGATTGGGGAGTCTCCCATGTCCATCTCCTGGGCGAGGGAGAGGAGAGAGAAGAGGGGTGAGTGGTATAGATAGAGAGAAGAGCTGTACGTATATACAAACCATAGGTGAAGGAGATTGGATAAAACCACACTAGGCAAGCATGTGATGTACATGCAACGCATGTACATTAAAGAATGCCACGTATTCTTCGCGAGCAAGCGAGAGCAGTTCAATATTTCGATTAGTTACCTCCAGACTGGTGAATTGTCCGCAGTAGCCCACCACACTCAGAACAGCTCTGTGAGCGTTACACGAAGCCACCCACACCTCGCAGCCCGCCTCTTCCTCCGAGAGACCAGACAGACTCTCTCCACTGGGCGAGAACACCAGCCCCTCCTCCTCCTCCTCCCTCTCCTCCGACCACCCTCTCCGTTCCTGTCTCTTCGCCGGTGAATACACGACCTTTGACCCTGAGAGTCGACCGGCAGCTGAATCGGACGAGACTCTGATAGGTGGGTGTGGCTCCAGTGATGGGTGAGTCTGGGGACCCGGGAACGAGAATTTCGTACGGGGTGGGGCTTGGGGGTCAGGGGAGGGGAATTTTGCGGGGGTCGAGAGGGGTCTTTGGGGTGTTGGGGACCAGGAATGTGGGGGGCCAGGGGGGCTGGGGGGCCGTTCTGTTTCAGTGAATTGGTTGATGAGGACACTTGGGTGATAGCAGTCTGAGATGGTCAGCATTGGTTCCCTAGCCGATCCCCCAGCTTTGGAGGTGTGGTCAGAGGGGGTGTGGTTGGAGGGGGCGTGGTCAGTGGTAATTTGGTGGTGGTCGGGCGGAGGAGGGGTGGAGTCAGGTTCACTGGTGGTACAGAGTTTACTGGAGAACCCAGTGTCGGAAGTGCCAGAGATTGACGTTCGTCGCTGTCTCTCACAAGTGTCAGTGGGATCATCTGGTGTGTTACCAGTGTCAGTGGGATCATCTGGTGCATTACCAGTGTCAACCGGATCACCAAATGTGTTACTAGAGTCAGTTGGTTGAACAAATGTATCACCAGTGTCACTACGAGTTACATCTGGTTCGATTTGAACCTCAATAAAATTGTCTGTGCTATGCTCACTCTTACGAAACACATCTCTAACCTGCCCACTACTTGATTCATATTGACTCATTTCAACACTGTCTTGAAGCACTTTGACACCACTCAATAAGACCGCGTCAGTGTGTGACTCCAGTCTGCTATCGCCCAACCAGTGAAGTCCACCTTCAGTTGACTGTCTGTCAGCGACAAACGGGTTAGTGAGGTCCGTGTGGATCGGTGGACGTGGGGATTTCTGACGGTGGTGACGGAGTGAAGTGAGGACAGAGTGGGGAGAGAGAGACACGCAGGCTGCTGTGACCTGGGAGATCAGGTGATCATCACATGACGAGGAGTAATCTTGACACCAGATCGTAGTCTTACGTACACACATACCCCCGCCCTCAGGAGAGGAAGCGGGTCTGGTGACTATTGAGCAATGCTATTGGTCGTGTTGACTCAATACAAAGTCTTTCTGTGTACCCATGAGTGGGATCAAAACGTACTGATGATAACACAGCTGAATAAAATTTGCTCAATTGTCACCAGACCCTTTCCTCTCATGTGTGTGTCAGAAATAGAGCGAAAATCTGAGGACACTCCTAATACGAGGACACCCCTCTAATAAGGACACCTGTCCCTGCAACCCCTGAAACAAGGAAACCACGTCCCACTGTAGACAGACGAGGAGTGGAGATCATGTGACTCTCACCTGACCCCTGCTGACCCGGATACCATTGAGAAGCCGTAGCAACTGCTGCGACTGCGCAGTGGAGATGATGTCATCGGCCGAGGGTCTGTGGTCGGGGTGTTGCTGCCAGCACCACACCATCAGCTCTCTCAGGAGAACTGCACACTCCAGGTCCTACGGGGATGAGGGTGAAGAAAGTGAATATATGAAACACTGCAGCACAACGATGAAAAGCCCACATTTATACACTACAGAAATGCAACGCATTGTTTGGTGAGCGAGTGCGAGCAGTTCAATATTTCTCGCGTGTTCTGCGCGTATTTAGAATCACATGGTACATTACGGTAGTGACAGCGCCCGACCGATAGACATACATATATGCTATATAGAAAATTCCCACATTGAAAAGACTAGGTAGGTTGGCTGGCTTCCCTCGCCAATTACAGTATGCATGTGAGTATATGTCCCAGGATGGCTACTAGTCGTCCAACTTCGTACAGTTTCATTAACAGCACTATAGCGCAAACCATCGGCGAACTGCGCATGCGCGGTACCACTAATTGATAGGCTTGGCTTTTATGCCTTTATTCGTGGTCTCCCGCTAGTAGCTCAGTCATGCATGAGCGCGAAGGGTTAATTAGGCTTGATGTATGACAATTGGATGACAAGTGGACCCTGGATAAAACAACCTGATGGTGACAAAACCTGCAGCAAACTGGGCTCTTGTGAGAGTGACAGGTGGAGAGAAAGTGAGTGTGAGACTTGCCTTCCTGGTGAGGGCAGGTCGTGAGCCACTCTCGTTTGCCTGGTTTGCCTGCTGTGCCGTCAGGTTCTCGTAGGGAATGTGCAGAGTCAGCAGTTCATACATGAACATCCCGAATGAGAATATGTCCACCTGGTTGGTGTATACCTGTGGGGAGGGAGGGGGGTGGGTGTTAGTTCAGTGACAGAGAAAGAGGGAGGGAGGTTGGTTGGTTGTGCAGTGTGCAAGGGCATTGTTTAGAATTTACACAACAGGAGCAAAAACGCAGAGGCCTACATGTGTTTGAAGGAAAACTCTAGGTAGAGCCAAACTTGAACAGGTCGTTGTGCTCTTTCAAAAGGTGGGTGATTCAAGAGGGGAAGGGAATCCCCCTTTCCTCCACGTAGAAAAAGCCTGATTTGAGCGACTAACTCCCTTGTAAAACAAACCCTGGCTGATCAGCTATACCTCTTTGCCGTGGTACTTCAAGATCTCGGGGGCCATATACCCAGGGGTTCCAACGAGGCCCCTGGCCCCCTGAGTTGCTGCAAACTGACTGATCCCCAGATCTGAGAGTTTGACCAGCACCGTCTCCAATCCAAGTCGACCCGGGGGAACGAGAACGGAGTCATGTGGCATGGGGAACCGCCAGACCAGGACGTTGTCGCTCTTGAGGTCTCTGTAGATGATGGAGCAGTGGTGGAGATAGCGGATGGCATGTGCCACCTGCAGCCAGCATAGAGGGGAGAGAGGGAGAGGGAGAGGGAGAGAGGGAGAGGGGGGAGAGGGGAGAGGGGAGAGAGGGAGAGGGGGAGAGGGGAGAGAGGGAGAGGGAGAGGGGTGAGAGAGGGAGAGGGGAGAGAGGGAGAGGGAGAGAGAGGGAGAGGGGGGAGAGGGAGAGGGGGGAGAGGTGAAGATGATGCAAGTATTAATACACTGCAGCAGGAATCTTTCACAGTTCAGCAGTCACACGTGCAACCACCAAATTTCACGTAATAGAATGCACGGAAGAGCTAAACCCTCAGCATTGTGCAAGTGTGCCGATATCCGAGAATTTTGTAAAACCATACGCGGATACTTCTAATGCCAAGAAGTCTTGTTTGTTATTCATATCATTCCCTCACGCTCTCTCACGGGGCTCAGTAGTTAGCGGCATAACCAATACTGGATCTACATACTAGCCCCTTTGTGTGTAACTTAGCCCATGAAACTAGCATTAAATAAAAGTCATTATTCTATACTAACTACCATGCTTTTCTCACGATAACTGTTGAGCACATTACTCTGACAAGAATCACTGAAATTGACCAATCCCAGTCCAGCCCAGCTGGCTCAGCTACTGTATACCATACCTGAATGATGACAGCCTGCACGACATTGCCACGGAGATGTTGTTGCAGCTCGTGGAACTGTTCCAGGGTCTTCTTGAGGCTGCCTCCGGGAGCATGTTCGAGGATGAGTCCCAGGGGGCGGAGGACCACTCCGTGGAGTTGGATGACGTGGGGATTCCGGAGAGGAGCCAGGAGAGCTAGCTCCTTCTTGAGGTTGTTGAACCCCTGAATGATGGAGTAGCGGGAGGGCGGTTTTGGGGGCGTGGCCTCTTGTTCGGGGGCGGGGTCAGTGGTGGAAATGGTGGTCTGTCTGGTCCATTCTTTGGTGAGTGCTTTCAGGGCAAACGGACCACTGGGTTCAGACTGGGGGAGAGGGAGGGAGGCGAAGAGAAGGGCTGGTTTAACAGGAGAAATCACCACCCATTAACCCTTTGCCAGCGTTTTACATATATGTTATGTACTACGTGCGAGGGACATACCGGATTTAAATGAACCCGAGGGCCTCCGCGTTTGTAGTGTCCAGAGCGCAGCGAGGGCACTACGCGGATGGCCCGAGGGTTCATTGATATCCGGTATGTCCCGAGTATACGGAGTACATAACATGTTTAGTGCAGAGCAAATCAGCTCCGTATACGCGCACTGCGTTTCCAAGCACAGGGAATTTGAAAGATGCGAGAAAGAGACGAGAGCGCAAGACCGTCATCTCGTGCGGGACTATTGAACGCCGAACGCTAGGATACGCTGCTCCGCCACTCTAGCTACTCCGCTGCGGGACTGTCCTCGCCACTCATGCCGAAGAAACGCGACAGGAGACCTGCGCGAACCATCGCAATCAGAGAGAGGCGAATTCAGGCGCTGTGCGGGCTGCTATACCGAAGGCGTTCGCCGTCGACTTAGTAGCTTTGTCGCGCGCACTCGCTCGCGGAGCCCCACCCCCTTATTTGCGTGCGGTGGTTTGTGGCGGGCGTGAGCTGCCTGGCTATCTACTATGTATATACATGGCAAGGAGGGAGATGGGCTCAAAGCAGACACAGAAAACTGTCTCGTGGAAAAAGAAAATCAAGATATCAGTTATTTTGATCAACATTTTGTACAGATCATGTTTTGCGGGATACATTTCTTACATGAAATGCTGTTTAACTTGTTGAAAATCAACAGAAAAAACAAGGTTTCATATCATGTTTTCATGTTACTTTTGTTAGCTCACGAGGTTATAGAGAAATCAGAACCTGTACTAACAAATTCATTGGTCGATTCGAATCAGCTATGCACTCAAATTATAATATGCACGAGCTTCCATAAGTCCATAAGAATTTATATAGCCCTATAATACTAGGCGTTAATATTATGTACATCAATTTCTGCTTGGTAAGGAAACACCCATAGCGCCGTAAGGGTTAACATGACACATCCAGAAGCATTGTAGATGGCACCTTCTTGTGCTTCTAGAGTGCATGTGTTCAATTTGTGTGTTAAAGCTCTCTTTTCTACATACGCAGTGCGGTACGTCAGTGGAGGCACTGTAGCTACATACCTCTCCGTTTTTCCTGATCCTGACTTGGAAGACGGGTGCGTAAGGCTCCTTGACCAGGACCCTTCCTCCAACAGTCGTCTCTCCACTGACCAGGATTCCTTACCCTGGGCCACAAACAACTGGGGGAGAGAGGAAGAGAGGGAGAGAGGAAGAGAGGGAGAGAGGGAGAGGGGACGAGAGAGGGAGAGAGGAAGAGAGGGAGATACGGGGTGTCGGTAAAGTAGAGGGAAAACAGACTATATTTTTCCACAGCCTCATGAGGGAAAAATAATCACACTATGTCAGCCTCCAATTTTCAATATGCTATTACAGTACACTGCAGAATGGAGCAAAATTTGTAGCTCGGTTAGGAGGAGGCCCTCTATGAACACTCATCACCAGAAACTATTGTCAGTCTTATGATGTTCACGGGTCGTGTGGAGCCATGTATCTGAGGAGGATCTTCCCGTGGGCGGGGCAGGTGACAAAGTCCTGATTCCGAGCAACACACACCACCAGTCATCATATCGGAATGCATAGTTGTATGGACCTGGACCGCTTTTCAGGTCTCGTTCGGTACCAGGTACCGGTTCCGCTCGGGTATACATAGTACTGGCCTGGAGATGGGGCTGGGGCTTGGGGACTGTTCCAATCTGGGGTTTTCCCCCAGGTCGCCATGGGAGATATCCTTCCAGAAAGGAGACTTGTGAGGGGGACTGTGTTGCCGGGCACGGGATGAGTGCAGGGGGGTGTGGCTTTAGTGGGGTGGTCTGTGTTCCCCGGTGACGGCCGTTTCTCCCGAGAAGGTTCCTTGCGACGGGGCCCTTGGTGGGCGGAGCCTTGAGGCTGGTCTCGGCAGAGAAGGAGCGCAGGAGAGGTACCTGCTGTGGGCCCCGCCCCTCTTCCTCCGGTCGGTCGTCTCGTGAGGCACAGTGGGGGAAGTGGTACCAGGTGGTAGCGTCGTGGCTCACTCTGCAGTAGGGCAACAGTGTATGTTTTTACATTTGGTAGTAAGACATTGGTAAACATACCGCGTGTTGTGATGATGAGACAACTACATAGGCGCTAGTAGCAAGTACTTCTAATAATTATGTTGCTTACAATCAGTTATATGGCCAACTTTTGTATTATTATGAATACCCTCTGGAGGATGAGAGAAGCGAGAGGGCTGTGAGACTTCTGCGGAGAGAGTAGCTAGCATCTGAGAGGGGAGATGCTGTGGAGAGCCACGCCGCCTTCATGGGTCTTCCGCAGGAGAGAGATTAAGATGCGAGAGAGGAGAGGTTGAGAGGGAGAGAAGGAGAGAGAGAGGAGCAGAGAGAGAGAGGGATAGGGAAGGAAGAATGGAGGGTGACACGTCGCTCTTCTTAGCGAGCGGGGTAGATAGAGAGCGAATGAAGAGCACTCCTACTGGACAGTGAACCAGTCCTCGACCAGAAGAACAGAGTAATGTGAGTCCACAGCCTTGGACACGAGCCCCGCGCACTCATCTGTCGTGCGCCTCCACCCTCCTCCACCACGGGCTGGGGCCGGACTGGGGCTTTGTGGTGGTGGAAGCGTCCGTGGGGTGGAGCTCGAGAGCCCCTGGAGCGGAGGACCTCATTGAGTGTCTCGGAGATCTGGCGGAGGGACGAAAGAGACGTATGTACATCATTTGCAGCATAGCCATCTTTGAACTACAGTGTGGGAAACATGTTCCATGATACAGGTGTCTACATTTGTATCCATGCATGTACAAACATAGCAGCGCATGTGCAAAGGAGAAACAGATTGTCTGTAAGTAAAGCTATACAGCTACGTAGTGTGTGCTTTTGTACTTACGCCATTTCATTGCGGGAAACTCTGCGTCGAAAGGTGAGAAAACTGTTTGGCCTTTCGGCCAACCATTGCCAGATGGGACTAGTCCCATCCTCAGATGCGGCCGCCCCAGGTTACAGTGCGGGGTAGAGCTGAAACATTGCCCAGCTGAGGAGCCGACACTGTCCTCCTTACCTTGCGAGACCAGTCTCTGGACTCGTCTCAATCTTGTCTTTCCACTACCTGTTTGCACAGCTGCTTCTCCTTCTCGTCACAGCCACATGACCGGTCATGTGACCCAGAGCTCTGGATCATCTCGGAGGAGGTCTCTTGTTAACTTCTGGCACTAACGGAGGCCCCGCGTTTGATCCGATGTCACGGAATGTGCCGCACACCCCAGAGAATGGGTCTGAGACTCCGGCAGACAGACGTGGACTGGGAGACTGGAGGCGGAGGGGCCTCGCTGTTTCCGCCCGCTACTCTGGGAGACGTGTCGAGGACTTGAGATGGGGAAGAAGTTCGGGGACAGTCACACTGTTTGATGCGCTGAGATCTTGGTGTTGCTGCTGCAGGTGCGAGATTCTCTGACATGTACCACGTCTCAGAACTGTGCTACGTGATGATAGAGATTATTACTTGGGCAGAGATTTAAGATATTGGGGAGTGGAGGGAGAGCTTAGTCGTGCGTTTTTCCACTATTGGCGGAGAGAAGCGAGCCCACCAAGTCATCTGTGATGGCAGATGAACAGACGCACGCACTACCATTATTATGATTCTTAGTGCGAAAACATGCACGAAATATAGTGAACTGCGTGCTTCGCCTGCAAAAATGCTTTGCTATACTGATGAAAACTGTAAATGGTACATGATATGTACCTGATAGGGTCCCAGTGTCCATCTTTGAAATCTTGACCCCGGCCCTCGTCTGCTGGTGGGAATAGGGAGTCCTTCAGTTCTTCAATAGTCATGAGGTTGAGGTTTTCCGTATTGGAGAATGAGACCTTCTCTCACTTCACCAGCTCAGCTGGTCCACATCTGTGAGCAGAGAGTGGAGGAGAGAGAGAGGAGAGTAGGGGGGAGGGGAGAGAAGCGAGAGATTAAGGACAAGGTAGCTGTCTGGGCTAAATCAAAGAAGCAAACTTACACGAAGGACACTCTTTCTTCCTGGAAGATGGGAAATGGAAGAGCTTGTCCTGGGTGCAGAGAGTGCAGTTGATTGCCTTGTTTTGGCAACCAACATGATGTTTGCTGCATTTACAGATTTATATTTACCATGGACAGCTGCGTATACTAGAATGACTGACACCATCATTGGTGAGTGAACTAACATAGGTTCACAATATGTCGCATGTGCACTCGATCGCACCGTGCCGTGCCGCGAGGATAGACTCCATTCCTATCTCCGTGCTGGACGCGATGCGGCGCCAGCGTGACGGGGCGGCAATGCAAACGCGCCCAATTGCACCATAAGTTATTGCATGAACTTACATCACCGTATGTGTAGTGGATGCGGTGTGCACTCAGACTAGGCTCGCTTCACAGGACGGAATCAAGATGTCAAACTGGAAGAGGTGCCCAAAATGTCTGGTGAGTATACAAAGTGCTGAGCCTGTCACTAACATTTCCCGTCAAATGTTGCATCCGTCCCTCGACAGCTGGATGATGAGTCTATCACTCAGACCCGCTGACATTGTAGCCGCGGCAGCACCCACTTGGTACAAACGGAGATGATGTTGTAGCATGACGTAATGTGGAGCACGTCTCTGTGGAGAAAGACCTCAGGTTTGTACGATCTCTCCCTCTATCTCTTCTTCTTCCTCTCTCTCACACACTATTCTAAACTGGCTTCATACCCAGAGAACTGGGGAAGACAGTGTGAGTAGATTTGGCCTCTCACAAGTAGTGAGTGTGGATGAATAGTAACTCTCATCACTCAACTCCACAGCAACTGTGACATACCATTACATCAAACATTACATCACCTATTAAGTTGTAGAATGACACAATCATTCCATCATCATTACATCATGCAATACACACAGAAGTGGGTATAGGCACGTATATACTACCTCAAAGTGTGAGAGTCTGATGTATCTACTCTTCCATCTCTGTGGGAAATCTTCAGTGTTGCAATACTCAGAGGAAATCCGCAATTCGCATCACTCCTGTGGGGAACA